TCAACATCAACAGGAAAACTTGCTGCAGCTCTTATTACTGGTAAGATTTAATATTCTTTTTTTTGTTTTTCCTGGTTATATCTACTATACATAATAAAATTAATTTAGGAACAAAATTTTTAACCAAACAATTAGCAACTGGTGTTGTTATGGCTGAAAATTTAATTGGACAAGTTTCAAAAAATGTTCATGAAAAATTAGTACCAAATCCTGAACCAACAAAAGTTAATAAAGGTTTACATGTAACAGCTCGTGGTTTACGTACAACTTCAGGTGTTGCTGTTAAAGCAAGTAGTTATGTTGGTATGTGTTTTCTTTAATGTTTATATTTTATTTCGATTTATATATATATATATTTAGTATCCAAAATTGGTAGTATGACACTTGCATTAGCACGAACATTTGCACCAAATTTTGGTAAAGTTGAAAAAAGAGTAAAACCTGATGGTAGCATTGAAATAGTTAAATTAAGTGGAATACGTGGTATTGGACATGCTGGATTAACAAGTATGTTTTGTATAACTAATTTGTGCTATTGTTTTTTTAATTTTTTTTGTTAAAGGTTTTAGTGTTATTTATGAAAGTTGTGAAAATGCTGCAAAACATTTAGCAACGAATTTAGCTAATGAAAGTATAAATGTTGTTAAACATAAGTAAGAAATTGAAATATATATTTTTTTTTGCAAATTTACAATTGATTAATTTAGATATGGAGAAGATGCTTCAATCTTTACAGAGAATGCAGCATATGCAGTTGGAAATACAGCTTTAACAGCATATTATGTTGGAGGAATTGGTCCAAAAGCGGTAAGAATTCTTAGAGAATCGTTTTTCATAAATATCTTATTTTGATATTTTAGATTGCTCGAAAAGTTATTAAACAAACAGCTAAAGAAACAGCTAAAAATGCATTTTCATAAATTTTCCAAATTTTTGAATGATCAAAGTTTTTTTTTTTGTTAGCATTTTGTTTTTCTCGCTATTTTATACTAGCTTTTTTGTGTTGTTTACTTGTATTTGTTCTTGATATTTAACGAGGGAAATAAATATATGTATATATTTTATTATCATAGTTGCTTATATGTTTGGATATGTGCGACATCTATTCAATATTTTGTTGCTAATATAAATAAACTATAAATTAATAGTTATTATTTTATAAAAAAATAAAATTAGAAATTTTATTTATTTGAAATAAATTTTCTTCTATAACAAGGAGGAGTTAAAAGAATTTCTATTCGAATTGGTATCAATATTAACCATTCATTTAAAACTTAAAGAAACAGATTGAGTCATTTAAATAATTCATTCATCGAAATTTTATTTATTTTCTTTGATCAAATTTCTTTATTTCTATTCATATGAATTATTCTAGATATTCAATCAGACAATGACTCGTGTTAAATGTTCAAAATTACGTGGCAAAAAGCCCGGTATGAAACTATATGTTTTGTTGTATTCTATTATTAATAAATTATTTTTTTTCTAGATGAACTTCAAAAACAATTAGAAGAATTACGTCAAGAATTAAATACACTTCGTGTTGGAAAAGTAACTGGTAGTGGTGGTGCACAAAAATTAGGTAAAATTCGTAATGTACGAAAATCAATTGCACGTGTACTTATTGTTATGCATCAAACAACAAAACAAAATTTACGTGCATTATATCAAGGCAAAAAATATAAGCCAAAAGATTTACGAAAACGTAAAACACGAGCTATTCGACGTTTATTAACACCAAAAGAAAAATCAGCTCAATTGAAAAAAGTTCAACGACGACGATGGGCTTTTCCACAACGTACTTATGCTGTTAAAGCTTAAATACACAGAAGAAAAAAAACATCTTGTTTTGTTAACAAAGAAAAAAGAAGAACGTTAAGATGATATTTGTCATCATTGTATAAGATCAACTTTATTTAAAATAAAAATATAACAAAAAAAAACACACACATAATATTAAAATGAAATAAAGCTTTTTATTTATCTAGTTGTTTCCTAGTCTTAATGTAGAAGGAATAAATGAATGTAAGGTTTTTTTTTTCGTTCGCTTGACTAAACAAAAAGAAAAAATAAATGGGCCTGACCGGTGATCGAAACCGGAGCCTCTCGCACCCAAAGCGAGAATCATACCATTAGACCATCAGGCCATGACTATTGAACATAAATAAATTATAGTTTTGGATATATAGACAATTGACTTTCATAGAATTTTAATCCGCTAAAGAATTTAAGAAAAATATGATTCTCGTTTGATCGTTTTCATATTCATTGAGTCAACATACATATCAACTACTTTTAGAATACAAGATGCGTCATATTTGTCAAACATATTGGGAGAAAACTTCTTAGACAATTTCCAGATGCATTTGTTTCTGTATGGACGTAATAATTATATGATATATTTTCATGAGTGGCTACAATTCAATCAAGATTTACTGCTGATAGATAAATTCTTATAAGAAATAATGTATAAAATAATACGACTGTTGAATATGGTGATATCAAAGATTCTCAAATTAAAAATTCATTTTTGAAAATTAAACAGAAATTAATTGCAACATTCAAGAATATCAGAAAGATCTTCTTTGATGATTAAGTGTATATTGAAATAGTTATTTGAAATGTCTTTCAAACAATCATATTGATATAGAATTATCATTTGATAAAATTTCTAGAGTATGAATGTTGCTCAATTGATTGAATTTAGCTTTTGAAAATGACTTATGAAATTTTTCAATTAATTTAAAGTTAAAATTATAAAAAGTTCATGCATAGAATATAAGATTTGCCTATGTAAATAAAATTGAAAAAAAAAGAACATTATATTGTCCTTGATTCATTAATAGCTGTCATGAAACAATTTGATGAATTTGCTTTTACATTTGTAAAATTATCTAATGAGGAAAGATTCACACGTATGAGCATTAGCTCTCGATCGGTTCTAAATCAGCTTGTGAAACTCAATAAATTGATCGCGATGGTATCAAGCAGTTAGGTCGATTTCAATTATATAAAAATAATTGTAAGCTGTTATTTTAGACATTTTTATTTTTTTGTTATAATCGATATTAATCTAAATACAAAGAATATAATTTATTTTGAAAAAAATAATTATTTCTGTTTCATTATTCTAAAAGTTCATCAAAATGTAAATAAGACAACATATTTCTTAAAATAATATCCTTATCGCGTAAGTTATTATAAATTAATATAGTTTTTCTAATAAAATAAGATAGATTATACAAAAATAGGAAAAAGAAAATGATGATCATGTCTTTTTTTTCTTCCTGGTAGACATAAAAAATATACGAATAATTTTGATCTAGATAATTCTTACGTCGTTTTTTTTTGAAATTAATTGATTACACACATCTATACAAATATTATGAATAGATGTCTTAACTACGTTCATACTTCGAATATTTCAATGCCATTAGTAGTATAGATTTACAGAATGGTACTATGATACAAGATATTTGACAAAAATTTTAATTATTACATCATTAAAATAGAATTCTCAGCGGAAATTTGATCAGTTTTAAATATTAATGATATTGAGATATTCAAACCATGGACGTAGAATTAAAGCACATGTACTGCTGAAACTTTGAATAGTGAGAACTAAACTAACATAAAAATTAAAATTTTTGAAATAATAAGTTACAATCATTTTTCTGTAGTTGAGATTGATCAGAGTTCTCAAAAAAAGAAAAGTGTATTGGAAAGAACGCTTTGTATCGTCGAGCTTCACATTTTACAATAAAATTGACTGAAAATGAACACTGACACTTGGGAATCGTCTCCCATCAAAGAATCAATGCTTAATACTAAACATTATGATATAAAAACATGTCATTTTTGTGTACAATTTATTTCAATGTTGTTCATCTACTAAGATATAATTATTTAATTTATTACACACCTACAATAATACAGTTTTTTTTATTGTAGCATGATAATTTTCATCAATAGGCTATACAATCTTCTATTTTCAATTGTGTTCATCCAATATACTGCAAGATAAACATTATGATAATCGAACTTCTTAACCTACTTTTCTGTTTCTAATCATCATTGCCTTTTAACTCATAAATTATTACCAATTGGTAGTGTTGCTTTTGACGATGACGTTGAATTTTTTATGTCATAGATTTGATTGACACATGAGTGTTTTTTTTAATAGAAAATTGCTTTCACTTAAAATAGACAACGCAATATGGTCTATCAATCAAAAATAGTTATAAATAAAATTCTAGAATATGCTGCACTCAGGTAAGGGAGCAGTGCTCTTCAATAGATCGCTTTGATTCTCCCGAAGTTTGTGACTATTGTAGCATTTCTTATGTGTCTGTATTCCTAAAAGTAGCTGCTCAATTTTCTGAAGTTTTAAAGCGCCTCTCTGGAAGATGAAAGGTCGATAAAACATTACTGGCATTCAAGTTAATCATTTTGTCAATATCACATATCGAATAAGGAAGCGTAGCTTATCTTAATAATTGTTCTATATTCTTTGTTTATAGAAATTTTTTGATATCCATTAAGTTTTAATAGACTTAACATCATAACGATTTTTCCATCTATGAACAAAGCTCTTAAAAGAAAAAGAGACTATATGCTCACGCAATGATGAGCATGACAACAACATCATTATCTCGGAACCAACTATCCTTAATTTTTAGAAATCTAGTTATAGTTATTCGATTCTATCAAATTGGTTATTTATTTACATTTTTACTTGGGTTTCCTGGTAATCTAGCTAGTTTAGTTACATTATCACAACCAACGTTACGAAAAATATCAACTGGTTGTTTGTTTATTACTTTGGCTATTTCGGATACATTATATTTACTTATGTGTATCTTTGATTTTCTTGAATTCGGTTTACAACTAAGAAAAATTCAGTTATGCAAAGTAAAAAAGTTTTCTTTTTCTTTTATGAATAGATTCGTTTCTCTTGTTATGTTGCATACAATGAACTTTGTCGATTTCGTTCATTTATAATGAACGTTGCTCAAGTTTCATCAGCATGGATATTAGTAATAGTTTCGATTGATCGATGGATTCGAGCACGGTTTCCATTCAAATCAAGTTCAATATGTAAATCAAAAAATGCTCTAATTGCTGTAGGCGTTTTACTTATGGTAGATATAGCTCTTCATGTTCATATGTTAACTCCAATGTTTGGAATGCTTATACCTGGCTTTTCATTAAAAATCCTTCATACTTTCAATTCTATTTTTGGCAATGGAGTATAGTTCAAGTAGAACTTCACATATTCAAAGAACATTATCTTATGTAAGATCAGAAGTCAATCTATCTTATACAATCAAAATAGATTTATTTCTTTTTGTCAATCATAAATCTTTTTACTACAAAATTCAAAAAAACCTCTAATATGGTTTAACCTAAGACGGCTAATCTTTTATGAATTGTTGATGGATTCTTTTTTTTGTTTATTTAACAAAAAAGAAAAGAATTTCCTAAACCTATAATTTAGATCTTTACCACTTGCTTAATACCAGCTAGTGTAATACTGGTTATTCTCATCGATATATTTATTGTTGTTCGTGCTCGTAAGCGAGTAGTTATTCGACCAATTCAATTTACTTGTTATATTAAAAATAGAAAACAACAAAACATTCTTCAAAAACAAATGTTTATTCTTATGCTTGCAAGTGTTTGCATTTTTCTGATTACTTCTTTGCCGTTGACAATTTATAAAATAACATCAGCACGAGATGCAAATCTATCACTTACTATTTTTATTATTATTACCATTTGGGCTGGTATAGGATGGTTTCAAAGTCTGTTTTATGCAGTAAATATAATCATTACTTTTATAATTAGATAAACATGTCTTCAGGGTGTGGGTGGGTGGGTGGGTGGGTATGGGTGTGGATGTGGGTGTGGATGTGGGTGTGTATGGGTGTTGGGTGTGGGTGGCTGTGGGGATGGGGGTGGATGTGGCTGTGGGGATGGAGGTGGGCCCAGGTCAAACAATCAGACTGTAGGATCTTACAAGATCGTACCTCTGATCTTGTACGATTTCGTAAGATCAGATGAAAATTGTACAGAAAATCGTCTTCTAAGAATTCTGTTGATCCGTCGTACTATCAGATTCTTGAAAGACCCTGTTACCGTGTAAGATCTTTCACAAATCTAATAGTATGATCTGATACAAGATTTCTTAGACTACGATTTTTTGTCAGATTCTTGTAAGATTTCGTCCAGATTGCAAGATCTTACACGCAGATGACAAGATCTTACGTCAGATTTTCCGACCTAGGGGTGAGGGTGTGGGTATGTGGGTGTGTGTGGGTGTCGGTGTGGATGTGTGTGGGTGGTGTGGGCGTGGCTGTGGGTGTGGGTATTGGCATACAGTTTATGCACCCACACCCTAAAACCATGTGTCAATGGACGGACACTAGATGAGTTAAGGTTATGAACAAATTGATGGAGACATAACTCAGACGAGATACAGGCTACTGAACAATGGGAATAAATGACGCTTTTTGACGCAAAACGAGGTACTGTGAACAAACATGGTGATGACTAGCAATTGTCAAAAGCAACAAACTAATTATTATGTTCGAAAAAGCTGTTAGCGCAATCCCTGCCGGATTAAAATGTGAAACACGATATATCTATTGTTGCGAGTCCCCTAAAAAGTCGTTATTTTTATGTATATCGAGGTATACTTTCGCATCAGTACGCACTTTAGAACATAGAACTTCAACAAGGAAATAAGCCATAGATATTTTAACTCAACTTGAGTTATACATTACCGTTAATAGTACCCTGAAGCCGTCTGTCATAGTATGTGACAGTCTTCAGACCGCGTTTCTCACGCCTAACACACCAGTCAAATCAAAAAAATAATAAATTAGAGAAAATAAAACACAAACAGTAGACCAAGATTGTAACAGGATAAATAAAAAGAGAGTAACACGGAAATGATACAAGAAAAATAGTTGTATCCACAATAAAAAAATGAATAAGACAGAATGTTTTTATGACGATCAACTAATTACCTGAAATATCTTGTATTTTATAGCGAAGTATGTGGGTGTCAGGTTTCAGCTCCAAAGGGTATGTGGTGTGAGTGTGGATGTGGTATGAGTGTTAGATAAGATAGGCTGAACCTACACCGACACCAACATCCAACACCGGCACCGGCACCGACATCCACATCCCACACCCGCACCGGCACCCACCCACACCCACACCCAAGATTATTTTATTTTAATCTCATTGAAATATTTAATATCAATTGAAATTTGAACTTAATTTAAATATAAAATATTTTAAATTTTAAATTTGAATTTTATAATTTTAAATTGACATTTATGTTTATGTTCGCCAATGAGAAGCTACGTAGTAATGGCTACTTCTCATTACTAATAGCCTTGCGTTTAGTAGGCGCCATTAGTTTTTTAAAAAAGGTAGAATTGAAACGAGTTCCCATCCGCTTATTATTCCAATTCTTATTTTTCTTGAAGAATAGATTTTTGGTCGGTTGAGAAACTCTTTCCGGAATCGTTTTCTCGTAATTTTCGGAGACATAGAGTAGAATGTCATATTTTCCATCTAATTTTTTTGGACTAACTTTTCCAATGACAAGATTAATGCCAGCTGCCAATAATACTTCTTCTTCCTGGTCAAAATGTGAAAGAGTTTGAATATCAGCTAGGTAATCGGTGGACATTGCAGTTATAAAACTAGCATCAATGGTAAATATGGTGTTTGTTGCATACATTTCGGCTACTTGTCGATTTTTCGTTGTTGAAGTAAAAGCAGACCACGATATGCGTTGACCCTCTTTTTGTCTATATTGTTCAATCATTTTCTCTGTCAAATCAGCACCACGATATAAGTATTTCAGACGATCAGCAATATAAATATAGTGAGAATTAAGTTTGATAAATGTACTGTCATGTAAACATCGTTTCTGAAGATAAGCAGATAGTAATGCACAATATGGTGCTAAATTATTGCTTTTCGTTAAGTTTTTTCCACGTAGAATTTTGTTGACACGCACGAAAAGGAAACTATTTCGCGTGTAAACATATACACAACATTTACCGATATCCGATGTTGTTGTTTGATCATTTCCGAGTAGATGTGTCAGATGTTTGCAAATTTCATCAGCTTCAGAGATTTTGTTTTCAATCTTTCCCTCAGCTTGGATTCCAACGATTGTGCGACGAAGGACACGTTTGGCAGTTCTACAATTTTTCATTAAATCTTGAAACTCAATTGCGTTTCTAGATAACCAGCGTAGAATATGAATGGAGCCACAACCTGGTTGATCATAAGTTTTCAACTCCGGCTCTCTACTATCATCACGATGAATGAAACGTTTTTTACGTGAATATTGATTGGAAGAAATACAAAGGGGAACAAGTGGACTTCTGTACTTCCAAAGTATAAAAAGTACAAAAAGTACGAAAAGTACAGAGAAGTACCAAGAAGTACAGGGAAGTATCAAGAAGTACAAAGAAGTACAAAGAAATCCCAAGAAGTACAAAAGAAGTATGCGCTTTCTCCCTCGTTTTTTTCCCAAAAACAGGACATTTTTCAAGAAGTACCACGAAGTACGAAGAAGTGCCGAGAAGTACCGAAAAATACGGAGAAGTACCATGACGTACTGAGTAATACGAAGAAGTACGAAGAAGTACAAAGAAGTACCAAAAAGTACAAAAAAGTACCAGGAAGTACTAAGACTTACAGAAGTCCGCTTCTTCTTCCTTGGAGCAATATCAATGGATTGTTTAATTAGTGGCGAATTCTTCTTCGATATTGATTTGTATTTGCATAAATCAGTAAAATCATCATTTGATTCAATGTTTGGTTGTGTTCGTTCTTGGTAGGCTTTTTCCACAATCTCATTTGCAATTTCTGAAAATGGTTTCAATGACATTCCACTATTTTTGCGACGAAACCTTCGAGAACGAATTTGTGTCATTCTTATTTGATTTTTTGTCACTGCTTTATATAGTAACACTTTCTCTTAAATAAATGTATGATAGGTTTTCTCCATCGACTGTTGAATCACTACTCTACTGTCATTTTGCAATAAAAGGAAAATTCCAAGTTAAAAAATGTATGTACATAATCTATTATTAGTGAATCAGCAATGATTGCACAATGAATATGTTCGAAACAAACAACATAGTTTTATTAATATTTGCTAATGAATCATAGCGTGACCAATCACTTCCTCGCAGAACAATTTTTTGTATATATTAAAAAAAAATTTTGCGATAGCTACAGAACATGCCTAATATCGAAAATATTCTTAATTTCATGCAATTATCATTCATATTAAGATCAGGAGAATTGTCTTATCCTAGAAAAACTATTCTCAGATATTACGAAGCTTTTTCCTCAACAACAACAAAAATAATTAATATAGGAGGATGAAACAAAGTTTCATGAGTAGAACTATTTCAATATATGAAACATATTTCAACTGATAGTGAATTCTCATAGACAAAGATGATCTTTTAGATGTTCATATTGAGATCAATCAATTAGTTTTTGTAATGAAACGAGAAGTTTCGATATGAAGACGAACAATATAAAACACTATTTGTCGATTCATTGATAAATCTTTCACTTGAACGATTATCAACATAAGCTTTCAAAACAATTCCGCGAATTATATTTTTGACAGTATGTTTCTGTATTTTTCATACGAAAAATTTCAAAATCCTTTATAGAAAAGAGAAGACAAAAAATAAAAATTGTTTTTCTATAGTTACTATTCGCATCTTTTTTCTAGTGAACTTTGAATGGAAAAACAATCACGGACTGAGAATTTGAATTTAAATATATTACTCATTCGTTTTTCCTTCAATTTTAATGTATTTCTTTTCTGTTTATGCAGAAAGCAATTATCTTCTCAAACAACGTTTCTTCTTCCTACCATTCAGTAACAAGCACACGACATATGAGTCGTCCTTATACATTACACTTGAACAAGGAGAGATATGAACGTAACCGTCGATCACATATTGTTTTAAAAATGAATTTAATCAAACAGATATGTGTACAGACGAAGAATATGTCGTGTTCTGATACACTCACAATATGTTTTCTTCAACACCTCAACTCTATCATAATTGAAACATGCATAACTTAATAAAACCAGTTCCGTGTGTTGTCAGAAAGGTCATGTAGTGATTATGGAATTGATAAAAATAATCTGAAAAGTACATATCCCAATAATAACTATTTCCAATTATGAACCTAT